CACCCCCTGCTTATTAACCAGCTTCCAGAGATTTAAAGTTTGGACAAAGATAGCATGATGAGGGGAGCCTGACAGCTTCCATTTATTTACGTCAGACGCTTTGCTCCTTCGGCTCACTCATTTTGTCTGTTGAGTCTAGATGTTCGGTGGGTGTTTGTCCATATTTCCTCCCGCATGCGTGCACGTCGTCCCAGTTAGGACCCCCGTTTTGTTTGACCCTCGAGGTCTGGCCACTGTTTGATGTGCGCTTTCTTTTGCTCTGAACTCAAAATTGTGTCTAATTAACAGGAAGCTCCGTATGTGATGTACAAGAAAAACTTTCAGCAGCTGGATGGGAATGACAAATATGAAGGCTACTGTGTTGATTTAGCTTCTGAAATTGCGAAACATGTGGGGATAAAATATAAACTGTCAATAGTGCCGGATGGGAAGTATGGAGCCAGAGATCCAGAGACTAAAACGTGGAACGGGATGGTGGGGGAACTGGTGTATGGGGTAAGTACCACTCCACTTATGCAGCCTTTAATCTGTTTATTTATTTTTTTCTGAATACCTAAAAGAGAGATTGTATCAGTCATGTTTGATCAAAATCAAACCAGAAACACATGAATATTATACCCATTAATTATTCGTTTGTTCCTGGTCATATGAGGTGTTCTAAAACTTAATTTCCTGTTCTGTGATGCATTTTTTAAAGTGGTCTTATTAAAGATGCTCAGATATTACCCTTCATTTCAAATTTAAATCAAAGGCATCTTTCAAGCCTGAACTGCTTTTCACTGACCTGGTGCCTCGTTCGCACATTTTGATGCTTTTATGCAAAACTTTACTATAAAATTTTGGCTTAAAAAGGATTTAGCAACCTGTAGCAGATAAATAGGAATAAATACACAAAGCTCCSATCAAATCCAAAGTGTCACATTAATGTTAATTATTGGCAACATCTCAGTGAGACAATGAGAGAAAAAACAACTAAAAACTTTGGTTTCTGATAGAGTAGAAGCAGACTGGTACCAGAGCCTCTGATGGAGGACACATTGACTCATTAGGAGTGGGATAGATGTGAGAAAAAGGTATTCTTGACCTAAAACACATGAATGTTCCTTTACAAAGAGTACAGAAGGGATGGCAGAACTTGGCTTTTGGTAGCTGTTCAGGACGATCTGACAGGTTTAAGTTTTAAAATAAAAAGTTGTGCTTTCTTTATGAGTTCGTCTACAATAATAATCTGCCGCATTTACTCTTTTTTATGTCTGAGCCATAATTTTATTTATTTATTCCTGTTTTGGCTGCTCCCTTCTTCAGGGGTCGCCACAGTGTGCAAACTCGCACAAATTATTTAACAGTTGTTTGACACTGGATGCCCAGCCTGGCTCAGACCTGCAGCCATAAGATTCGACGGCAGCACTGACCGCTAAGCCTAACGTCCACGCCAAATTACCAAGAAATATGCTGAAATAAATCCTTGCCATCCTTGAAGAAATACTGTATGTAATGCCTGGAAMACTTTGTACCAGGGTTTTAATCTAAGATCACAGAATGGGGAGAATGGAATGGAATTACAGCTGCTCTGATCAAAATGTACAAATGGCTGTGCACACAAATGGTGAGATTTTGAGCAATGTGTACTGTATATATATA